GGGGGGGGGGGGGGGGGGGTGAAAGTGCGGCACGCAACAGGGGCGGGCAACCAACGCACCAGTAAAGCCAGGGTGCGGGCCGGGACCTGAGAGCATACATGCCCTGCTGCGAGCAACAGTTGCTGTTGCAACTCCGCTAAGCAACACGAGCCCCTAGTGGACACCTACTCATAACTTCGGAGGCTGGAACTCTTGCCTACAGACAACCCTCCCACGAAGATGGGCCCGTGTTTCAGATGCTACAGGGCTTCACCCCCTCTTGTGTCATGCTTCTGCGTCAAAGTACGCCGAGTTGGCCGCGAAAGGCAGCAGGAGAGCAGGCAGAGCAAGCTGCTGGAGGAGGAAATCGAAGTCATCGACCGAGCTCATCGCGTTTACTTCATGTCAGCCATTCTCAGCTATGCGGAACCGGAAGCTCTGATCCATCCATGGGCAACTCAGGACTTTAGTGGGACGCCGTTTGTGACCTTTGTGGCCTGGATAACGCATCGAGGACGGGTGGAACCATGCATCGAACATCCGGACCTGCACAGACTAGTTGACGCCCAGCCAGGACTCGCGCGGGCGCCCATGTGCTGTGCAGCAGCCTTTGACTGGTGGCAAAGGGTTTCCTAGCAGCTGAGACACAGGTGGGTTGACGAAGGGCGACCCTGGGGAAAATTGTTTTCCGGGTGTTTCCTCACCTGTGTTGATCTTCCAAGTATTGCCGGCAAATTCGTGAATGTCATCCACTGAGGCCGCAGGCTAACCGCAGTTCTGTGCTTCCAGAGCAAGGCAGTGCTGAGAGTGCTTCATGCTCAGGTGTGCACTGGGATGCTCCTTGTCATTGCAATCATTGCTGGGGGCATGGCTCCAGTCTTACTTGCCGCCTCAGACATCTTGCAGGAAGTTCGAACTAGTAGTGAAGTTTAGTCGTCAACCAGCCGCGTTTGTGACGAATTGTCTGCAGATGCACAGCACCATCGGTTTTAAGCTGTCAGGAGGCATGCAAAGACGATGCATGTGATCGGGGTAGACGCCATGAGTGGACCATCTACGAGAACCGAGGTCGCGAGACCTCCCAACGTGGATGTGGACTGGGCCGCGCAAGAATCTCAGGCTAAGAAATTGTGGGCTGGCTGGGCCTAGAAACCCGGCATCCCTTCAGGAAGCAACCGGTTCTTTCCAATGCATCGGAAGCACATGGACAAGAATTTTGGTCTGGTATTCGCAGATGTTTGCGGACTGTTCCAAGAAGCCTCTCGAGATGAAGAGCTCAGTCGGAGAAATAACCTGTTGGCCAAGGTTCCTTAAAACGGATGTGAACACGTCGACGATGCGGGACGTCTTCCTGCCCGGGCTCCGGTGTGGTCACTGTGCAATGCATTTGTCTCCCTTCTAGGTGGATTGCAATTCTAGGTTCACCTTGCAGCTGTTCAGCATATCAGCCAGCGGCCAGCGGCCAGCAGAAAGTATAAAACGACTGCATAAGCAGACGGTATCAACCAAACTTTACGTCTACTATTCGATATCCTGTCTTATCAGGTTTGCACTTCAGCATCGGCAAACTGAGCGGAGGCTTACGGAGGACTGCATATAAGCCATTGTCCAAGGTCTGGCCGATAGGGTGGAACTTCCCACGGCAGTAGTTGTTTCGGTTCCGCAGGAGTTTCTCGCGTCTGAGCCTCCATGCTGGTTCTCGATTTCACTCCTCTTTGCAGATCGCAAAAGGGACTCCCGAGTCTATCTGTCAGCACATCGAAGCCTATCGAGGCACAGCGGTTGCCGCAGAACTGATGACACAGAGACTCGGGAGTCCCTTCGTGCGATCTGCAAAGGGGAGCGAAGTCTCTCTCGGAACCTAATTACTGCCTTTTCTGGCAGGAGACTGAGCTGGTCGAAGACCGCGAAGACCGCCGGCTCCAAGGCCTCAGGGAGGGCAACCGTTACTACTGTTGGGGATAGCTGTCAACGGCCAGTCGAACCCATCCGCATTGAGCACCATCTATGAGCATCGTCATGAAAACACCACCACCAATATCACCGGAGCAGTCATTTTCACCACCATCACCATGACCAAGACCGTCACGACGGTATCAGCATCATCAGGGTCACCATCACGTAGGATCACCGCCACCATCATCAACAGCCGGCTGGGTCATAGGGTGGGTAGGTGGGTTGCGTGGACTTGTAGTTGCAGGATGGCTTCAGGAGTCAGGCCCACACTGGCAGACGAAGCAAGTCTTTTAAATCGACTTGCAAGGAGACCCAGATGCCAACTGTGGCAGTCGCAAATGCACTGGTGCTCCGAGACTGTGCAAGACTCTCCTGCAAAAGTGCAGAACATTCGGCAGGTAACAGGCTTTACAAGCACAGCGACATTTTCTTGGCGTGACCCGGCCTTCATGCTTTCCAGGGGTGTCCGGGAGCTTGATCACCGTGTGACTGGCCTGCTTCCCTAGCCAGAAATTGCGAGACGGTCGGCTTTGTTTAGAGCTCTTGCCTTGAACTTGTTTTTTTGATTTTTGAAGGCGGTTTTCGTGAGGAATGTTTCAAAGTCTCCACTCGCAGCGGCCTAGCTGCACAAGATTGTTTTTTTGTCATGCTTGTTTCTGCTGCTGGTGTCGCGTGGCCTAGAACATTGTAGATGGTGGAAGGGAGCATTGCTTGACGTTCTTGAAAAGACTCGGCCTGTCACCGAAGTCTTCATAGCATTAGGGATTGAGGAAAAAGCGATTTCTGACTTCTTACATGAGTTGTTGGGGCAAGAATGTTCCCCGTTCCTATCTGTAGGTGCTTGCCTTTCAGGCGCGTTTTTGTTTTGGCATGGAGGGATTCGGAGATGAGAGCAAACGAGGTACGACTTTCCCGAGGGTACCAATGCCGGCCCGAATGGATGGCTGGACTCTGGGCATCTGTATTCTGTGTTGCCGGCAAGTCTGCAGTGCCTGTTGCTGTAGGATGTCCTAGTGTTTGAGCATACAAGTCCTTATACATCATTGCATCTGCAGGGTCTCGACTCAGGTATGGAATTCCGAAAAGTTCAAGTATGAAGCTTCGTCGGTGCAATTCCTGAATCCATGGGCACAATCCAACCCTTTCACCAAAGCGTGTGTCATTTGCCAGGTAATGTCATTGGAGAGGAGGCTACGTAGCACTCCGATGCATCAGCCTCGGCTTTTCTGACGAGCCGTTTCCCTTGTTTGCACCTCGGTCTGCTGTGCCAGCAGCAGGAACTGACGGGAATATGCATGCTTGCCTGCCAAGGTGGCAGCAGCTCTGTAACAGGTCAGATGATGTTGAACCCGAGCTGCATTAAGAAGCATGCTCCGAGAACGTCTGGGCGAGTTGAAAGTTCGGGTGGGGTGGAATCTGCATCACTGCTGTCGGAAGCATGTCTGAGAATGCTTGATCCTGGCTGCTAAGCTGCTACGCGGAGCTCGAACTCTAGAACTTGCATCCAGGGTTGACTTCATCTCGCAGCTCAGCTGACGCGATGGCCGTCTCAGAGTTCGTGGTAGTCAGCGCAGCATCTGCCAACCGCAGCTACTGGTGGGCAAACGGAACGTCGTGGCCTTCGTTGCTCAGCAGCAACCGGCAAACGCACGACTTGGGCACGTACAGCCCTGTGCCCGTGCTCAGTCGCGGGGCTATTGTTTCCTTGGCTCTGGCGAGTGTTGTCTTCCTCGCCTTTGCTTTCCGTTTCGTCAGTGCTGGCATGGACTTCATGAAGGGGCAGGCGAAAGACGAGGGCTGCCCTCGAACGCAGGTCTTCCACATCTTCTTCGCGGGCAGCTCCTCCCTGCTCGCAGGTGCACGGCTGGGTATCCTGGGAGATCACTTAGACCCAGCCTTGGGTCTGTCTTTGGGTCGTGCGGGCGCCTGCCTTCTGCTAGCCGTGGCCCTTGGCCGCGCAGCTGGCACCAGTGTGCGGGAGGTCGCGCCTGTCGCGGTGCTCTTGGCGGTGAGCTGGCTGCAGCTTGGGTTCTCCGCAGTCTCCAGCCAACAGGCCATGCACCTGGGCCTCTTCTGTTCGGGTTCCCTTTGTGCACTCGTGGCTGTCCAATCGCTCGCTGCAACCTTGGAGGGAAGCCGGCATGCCGAGTATGTGAAAGACCGGCTGTCCTTAGTGATGTCCTTGGTCCAGACGCTCACTATGGTCCAATTGCTTGCTTGGCTCTTTACTCTGCATTTTTCGACTTCGGAGTCCGCTGGGCAGAAGGCACACTCCTTCTCTGGCTTTACGCTCGACAGCTTCTTGGATGGACTGGTGTTCTGTGGCGCGGGCCATCTGCTCCTCAAGAAGCAAGCCATCCTCCTCTCCCTTTGCCAACAATTTGCTCCACTCGACGTACCCTGTGATCAGAGTGAGACCTCCAGTCACACTTCGGCTGGACTATCTTGCACGTCTGAAAGCTCCCAGGTTTCGGAGACGTCCGTGTTGATCACCGCCCAGCCGGGACGTTGATCACGCTTCTGAGCAGAACATGCTAACGCCGTGCTCTTCTCATTGTCAGGGTTTCGAAGGCACAGCTTGCAGGCAGAAGGCCTGCAGTACAGTACACGTAGAGCAGCACCGTGAGTGCCAGGAAGATGTTGGCTTTGGGGTTGATAGGGGTCTTGTGACTGGTGGCTTAGTGAGGTCGAGTCTTGTTGGAGCATTGACTTGAAAGCAACCCCTATATAGCTGCAGTCATGACCTTTCATGGCAAGCCTTTGTTCTGACAGCACGGTGCCAGCAGTTTGAGTGCTGTTCCATGGATATTCGAGCAGTAGATCCCGTGGCTGAGGGTACCGCCACGCCGGGCAAAGAAAAAGACAATAGAGCTGTTCGCGCATGAAAGTGAGCGGAAAATCTTTATGCCGGTTCATGCCACTTTATCAAGCTGGGAAGCGGATGGTGCTCTTAAGCACCCTAGGTCGCCAGGGCCAGCATTGCTCTGCCCAGGACAAGCCGCTCTGTGAACAGGGCATCTCCTTGGTCAACTACGTCTTTCCATCCCCGATGGTTCTAGGACCCGACGTGGTGCCTTGGCTGCCATGGGTCTGCTTCACCGGTAGACGGCACTGAAGCATGCTGTGAGGTGCCCAGCATGCTGGTCTACGATGCGGGTGGCAGAGAAAAGGCAGGGCCTCGAAATGGCGAGCATGCATGGCAACGCTTCGACCCGACGTCACCAGCAGGTGGCTCCGCAGGTTGCTGTGGCCCTGATGGAGGCACCTGGTGGTTCAGGGCAGGGGATGGAGCTTGAGCGCAGACACCCACCCAAATTCCTGCAGATAAATTGGCTGAAATCAGCTACCAGAGATAAACCGACAGAGTACGCGAACTCGAGGCGAGGGTTGTCTCGGGATCGGTGCCAGGAGCACAACGTGAAGGACATCATCGTCGATGCAGACTACGAAGATGGACAGCCCGAGCCTTGGACTCTCCTCACCCGCAGCCCTGGACTCGCCAAGTCTGAGGCCTCTCCGAAGAATACGAAGCTGTTTCCGCTTCAAGCCGGCCTGGCCTGTGTTGGATGCCTCTGACGCCGTCGAGAGCTGCCGAAGTCTGTACGACGACCAACCACTTAGCCTGTGTGCAGATGCGTGCTCGAAGAGGAGCAAAGGCCGTTCCTTCGCTGCTGGGTCTTCTCGCTCCGAGCTTCCAGGTGGTATTGCTGCACCTCCCTCATGTCATCTTCTGAACAAGGAGTTGCCAGGGCCTTTGGTTCTCGCTTCTGTCCTTGCTTCCTGATCAGTGGAATGTAGGGTGCACATGCAGTTGGTTCGCGACCTGGAAGTCCTCATGCAGAAGATGCTGGAAAACGAATTGAAGAAGACAAAGTCCCGAGGCCTTTCGCCATGTGAGATCCCTTGAGATCCCAAGATGCCCAGGTCTTAGAGGAGATGCGCCAAACCTGGGACACCTTCTTGAACGAAGCCGCAGATCCCTGAGTTTTTGCGTGTTTGTGTTTTTTTTGTGAGCTCTAGAGTTTAGGTTTCAGTTCATTTTCGGGCTTCACGTGTCTTAAGGTTTAGGGTTGAGGATGGTTCAGGAATTCTGGCTTAGGGCTTGATGAAACTTTGGTGTGTAGGGTTCAGGGCCTTGTCGGAGTAGTCTTTAATGAGGTTTAGTAGTTGATTTTGGTCTCAGGTTGGATGCTTGCCTTCAGCTTGGGCCATTGCCATTGCTGATTCCTGCCATTTGCTACAGACAGCAGATTATGTGTGCACATACTGTATTCATTCATGTGAGCATGTCTGGAAGATTCGTGTGTAATTAAATGTACAAACATGTGGGGATATATGTTGGTACAGAAAACAAATTATAAGGAACACATATACAGAAATTGAAGTACGAACGGCGACATGGCAGTGCATTAGTATGGATAGGCCGCGGAACTGTACTCAAAACATTTACAACATATCGTAACCTTCATCACCCACAATGCAGAGACACAGACAGAAGCACACCCAAACAGTTGTGCCTCTGTCCACATCTACCAACACCCTTTCATCTCCTGCATCAAACGTTGGTATCTCCACTCCTTGGCCAGACAGGGCTTAGGGCCTTGGGTTTCTGACTGTCTGGTGCGAGGTCATGCCTGTCCTCAAGGACCGACCCCGAAGCTTCGTATGTGCTTGTGTTCGCTGGCCACGAGGGCGAACAAGTCTGCCCGAACAGAAAGGCTCATGGATGAGTTTCCTGGCTTCGAGATGAACTTTCATTAACAAAGACACTGTACCTAGCCTAGCCCTCCAATAAGTTCAGGCGAAACATCAATGTGGCGATCTGCGAAAGCTATTCAGAAATTCGGAGAAGGCTGAACTTCGACAGCCGCTGTTGAGAGCAGCGTGCTGCAGCATGCCTGCAGGAGTTTCGAGAAGCAACGGCCTCAGCTGCAAAGCTCACAGGGATGTGGGTATGTGTCGGGACTTGGGTCGAGCTTACAGCGCCGGGTCGAGCTATAGTGTGCTTCCCGCTCAAGGGTATCTGGGTTCAAGGCCAGGCTTTCGAGCGCTAGGCAATACCTTTTGCTGCAGTTGAAGGGTCTGGTTACGATGATGCTGCCCAATGATGGTAGCATGATGATGCTGATGATGTTGGGGATGATGATGATGATGATGATGACTCTGATCAGGGACGTGAGCAGGTCAAATCCTTATGGAATTAGATTTGCCTGCACGCTTCCTGCGCCCCTACTCGCACGATCACACTTGCTTCTTAGACGGCAGGCACAAGCTGAAAGAGCGGGAAGTGGGACGAAGGTCCCCCACAGTGGAATTGCAAGGGACCCTTGAGCTTTTGCACATAGTGAAGGTCAAGGTCGGGCTTCACTCCCACTATGGGCACTACTGTAGGGGGATGCTGCAGACAGCCGACATCTGTGCCATCTCGTCAGACTCAAGATTCATACATAACCATACGCACTGTCAAGGGTCATGCAAGTCGACTGCTTTTGTCTGACGGGTTTGTATCAATGCTCTTGGTTCACAAAGGTGGCGTAGCCCTCTGGCTTTTCCAAGCCAGTTCACTGCTTCTTCGGCTACTTAGGCCGTTGTTATACGTTATAACATAACATACGTAACAAAAGATTAAATCAAGGAGGAGCAAGCAATATTGGCGTCCCTCAGATTATCAGGATTTTCCAAGATTTGGAGCCTGAAGCAAACGCTCTGCGCAGCCCTTCGAGATGTACTACACTGGCAGTACCCTCTACAGCAAAGAGGCATGGCCACAGGTTTCAGGTTTCGGCATTCAATTCAGTTCGGATCGAAAGAGGCATTCGTTAAGAGTTTTGTATTTTCGTCAATCCTTCAAGTCACTGAGATAGAGAAGTCTTGTTGGCTGGCGCCCGCCGGTAGCCGGTGTTGAGACTACAACCTTCCTTTCCGGAACGATGTCAAGGTTGGTTTGCCATTCGCGATGTACGAAGCTAGGAGCCTCTTCCTGTCCTACAGGGCCACAGTCGATGATGCTTTGCGAACCGTAGCTCATTCAGTTCTTAAGCGAAGCATGCCGGTTGCCTGTCTTCAAGCAGTGGATTTCGAGCGCGGCTCATCATGTCCTGGACTGGCCAGGGTACTGTACGAAGCGCCTTTGCTACCCCACAACCTGCTTACGGTCTGCCATAATGGGGAGTAGCGATGCAGAACCTGTTGAGCGCCGGCTCCTTCTGGAAGCGAGTGAACCGGAAGTGGTATTCTGTGGAAAAGGCGAGCCCTTTGGAGACATGATGCTGAAGCATGGCTGTATGGCGGTATGCAGCTTTTTCGGCTTCAGCGTCGTATGCAAGCACCCTGCGGGAAGGGTGCCGACATCAGTTAAGCTTCTCCGGAGGGCCTACTAGCATGCTGGCATCTGGCAGTCCAACATGATAACAAGCCCGAGCCAACATATTGTTCAGCAAAGCTTTCCTGTTTCTTGCACAGATCTTCGGACTGCTTGCTTGGAGCTGTCCCTGGTTTTCCATGGCGCGGCCACATGATGAAGCCTGCATGGCGGCGGCCATCAAATTGAGCAAGGACCTTGCCCCTGAGCTTGCGAACAAAGGGTTCAAATCCTGACTCGTGAATTCTTACAGCCTGTAAGCCTCTGTAAGCCCGCCTGTCCTGTCCCGGCAAGGCCTCTGCACCAACAATAACAACACAATCAAGACTCAAGAGTTCAGCACTTCTCTCCTGGGAGGATGCCGCGAAGACCGGCCACATGCCGTTCGGCGCGGTGCTGGCTGATGCCGAGGGCAAGATCCTGGCAGAGGCAGAGAATTTCAGTACTTTTACGCTTCTAATTTGGGGTTGAGAAAAAACCGTGAAATTTTTGTTTTTTCGTGGTACATACATATCATGTGTGTATACACACATATGCACACCTATATGTATATTTACATATATGCACACGTACATGTATGCTTACATGTATCCATAGTTATGTTTAGTTTAAGTGTATACGCATACGTGTGTTTACACCAAGTTTACACTTATTTACACTCGTTTCTGTTTGTGCTTACGTATCCGTCTCTGCCTCTGTGGCTTTCCGTCTACGCATCTGTCTTTCTGTCTGTCTACCTGTCTACTTGCCTAACTGTCTATCTGTCCATCTGTTCGATCCATCTACCTGTCTATCCGTCTATCTGTGTATTTGTCTACTCTATCTACTCAGTATCTACTCTATCAATCAATCAATCTATCTGTCTATCTATCTATCTATCTATCTACCTATCTATTTATCTGAGTTAATCTATGCATCTATCTACCTATCTACCTATCTATCTATGTGTTTGTGTATCTATCTATCTGTTTATCTATCCATCAACCCATCCCTCCATCCATCTATCGATTCATCCATCTGTATATCTATCTATCTATCCATCTATTTATCTATCGATCTGTCTAAACGCACGCGTGGATGCATGGATGGATGGATGGATGGATGCCTGGATGGAGGCGTGGATGTATGTACGGATGTACATGCGTATGTGCATGTATGTATCTGTGTGAATGCATGTACACACGCACATATGTACATGTATATGTTCGTATGTATATATATACACACACATACATATATACATATATGCATACAAAATTCATATATACATACATGCATACATACATACACATACACACACTAGACGCTCGTGCCTGCGTTGCATGCACTTGCACTTTTTGCATCTTGGTTATGCACATTCTCGCGAGGGCACGACGGATGTTCCATGTTTGGGGTCGGCTTGGAACTCCAGCGGGGCTGTGTTCACATCTACATATTTGTATATATCTGTATATGTCTATGTATATATAGATAGAGAGAAAGATATTTGTATGTATATATATATATATGTGTTTATATTTGTGTATATATATATATATGCTCGCCCCCCCCTCCCATGATCCACCGGTCGGTGGTGCGTGGGGTGGTGGAGGGTGAGCAGGCACCTATCTGAAATGCGTGCGATCTCGACTCCGAGTACATTCTACAACACATACAGTTTCAGGAGCATCTCCTTTCAAAGCTCGAGAGAGCATACGAAAACGAGATTTTTCAACGTTATATATGGTGAAAATATTTCGGGGCTTGGCGGCTAATTTCGGAACGTTAGGAAATCAGGACGACCGTGCAGGGGTATATTTCTGAAATATGGCAAAATACCCAGCTTCCATCCGCTGATAAGCCACTATCTAGCATGCATCCATTATTCGCAATAGACGTATTTGTTACTAAGATTGGGTAACTTTAAGACCAGCTATGTATTGGAAAAGCATTCACTGAAAATTTATATGAGCTGAACTAACCTTTACATGTTTGTTCAACTAACAATATAGCAGAAGAATTTATAGTAGCCGAATATTCTTTTGGTTCCCAACTCAATCTGCTAGCTATTGAAAACATGCCTTTTACGAAGGGAATAACAATAGACCGCGATTAGTGTGCTTGTTAAGTACTAAGTCATAACATGTCAACTACATGATCCAAACATAAGACAAAGAAGCACATTGCACATAAATGAAACACCAAAAAACATGAAACAGCTATTCGGTTTAGTGCCACTGAAATATTAGCTAAATTGAACTACGCAGTAACCGCAGACTGGCGAGGTATCATGTAACACCATAAATTTAATATTTATTGCATGCACAGCATCTGTCAGTTGTTAAGTCTGTCGTTTATTTGTGAGTTATCTTCCAGGTGTTGCTTGAATATCAATAACGCATCAGGTATCTGAATCGTGAGATATTGGTCGAATAATTCATATCACCTGCCAAGCGATGTCAATAATTCATGAACATCGAACAGCAAGCGATATGGACCATGACTAAGTATCTCTTGTGACAGTATTACGATATTGAGAAATGAACAAATGATCGCTATCTAACAGTTGCTGACACTGCCTTCACTTGTCGTCCGCTATCTTCTAGAGATTGCCGTATTACCAAAAACGCTCTAGGTATATACTCATGAGACACTGGTCGAATAATTCATGAATATGACATGCAAAGCGGTACTACTAACTACTGTTTCATGAATATCGGTTTCCAAGCAAAACTAATGATTACTAAGCATCTCTTATAACGTTAATTCGACAGTTATTGAAGAATGACTAACATGCGCGGGGTTTAACAACTATTGCTCTTACCTCTTACTTGTGGTCAGCTATCTTCTGAAATATTTCCGTAGCACCAAATAATACTCATGAGATGTTGGTCGAATAGTTCATTAATAACAAATACTAAGCCAGATTAATCATTACTAAGCCCGTGTCATAATAATGGTAATTCGATATTGAAAAATGAACAACTACCTGGCAAGTCTTTCAGGCAATATTTTTCGACATGTAAAGTACTAACCATGCTGAAAGAACTGTGCAAACTGTAGCTAGATGCTTTGGTCTTCAGCGCGCATCAGAGTAGAGATCAGCCGGATTTTGCAGTGAACCTCTGGCAGAAGAACATGTTTCCCGGAAAGCACTTGTCGTGTATCATATAGTTGTGATGCAGTCTCAGTGCACTTTGGCATGCCCGACACTGTCTGTTTAAATTTGGTCCTGCATTCAAGTACACGGCTTGGGGCTTGGAACACAGACTCGAGGCTTCAAAGAGGATGCCCGAGACCAAAAAACCAAAAACCCAAGATCTGGGAGAGAATCTTTTGGTTTCGGCTGGATTTTTGGGTTTTTTGGGTTTACACTGTGTTTTTTTGGTTTTTGGGTCGGAAAACCAAAAAACACATGTGTTTTTTTGGTTTTCGCCGGGCCATGTCCTGGGGTCGGTGGGAGATGACTGGGTGGGCAATGATTCCTCTCCATGCTCCCACTTGGCACGTTTCCCGATCGCTAAATCGTGCCAAAACCCTAGCAATTGTTGGTTTTTCATTCAACAACCAAAAAAGCACATGCGTTTTGTCGGTTTTTCAGCGAGGCGAAACCATGAAAACCAAAAAAACACACATGTTTTTTTTGGTTTTCGACCCCAAAACCAACAGTGTAAAACCAAAAAAATTCAAAATCTAGCCGGAACGAAAGATTCTCTTCCAGATTTTGTTTTTTTGGTTTCGGGTGGTTTTGCTGAGTCGCAAAATTGTGGGAAGCAGGTTTCCAAAACAAATGGCTGTATGTGTCCGTGTTTTAATAGAAAAACAGAGCTTTCTCTGTTGAGAGCCCTGAAATGTGCCAAAACACAGATAATTCCTCGTTTCTGACCAGAAAACCCAGGAAAACGCACGTATTTTTCAGGAGGTAGATAGAAAAACTGCTTCGCAAAAATGTGGAAAGCAAAGAGGCAACACGTATTGCAAAATACCGTACTTTTCAAGATAAAAAGAAGACCGGTGGATCATGGGAGGAGGGGGCGACCATCCATATATATATATATATATTCATTCATGCGTGCATGTATATATATATATGTGTACATATGTAAATATGTGTATATATATACATATCATGTTTTTCTCGATGTCTATGCCTACCTATACGTGTAGGTGCATGTACAGTACACCCGAGGAAGGTCACGCAAACTTTCCGTGGGTTGGACACCAGCAACACTGTTTTTATCCCGGCATGGTCATCTGATTTTGTATCGTGTCAAGCCCCGGACAGCGCAAGCTTAAGGATGTCGTGCATTGTGTGCCATCAGGCAGAAAAGGTGGGTGGTTAGGTGGAACTTTGAGTTGTGTTCCGTTGCTGTTGAGGTTCTTGTGCCATTGTTCAAGCACCATTGCTGACACTCCATGGAGGCTCACAACCAGTCGGTCGTGGCCGCCAAACGTGGTGGTAGCGGCGATGTCACGCGCCACGCGGAGACCATGCGAACATGCACGTGTAGCAGAGGTCGGAGCTTCCTGTGGTCGCTCAGCAGCGTGCTGACCCTATATGGGGTTGTTATGTTCAGGGTACAGGGATTCGGTCGAGGTTTCGATGCACATTCTCGACTCCACTCGTGTCCTTTTCACACTTGTGCTCGCTCGGCCCGAAGTAGCGTAAATTCCGCGCTCCCGCTGCAGTGCCGACAATTCGCTCGAACTTGCTGAAGTCCTGCGAGCAGTCCCGCGCGCATTTTGGGGTGCGCCTCGTCTTCTCCATTGACTCGTGTCCCCGGCTGCAAAAATCGTGCTGACACCACAGACTCTCGTTCCCAGCTCAATGCAGTTCGTGGTCTATGAGGCCAATCGTACTCCCGTTAGGGTCTGCCCAACCGGACTGCGAATGCAAAGTCGTTTGCGTGGAATTGCTCTAGCCCACCATGGCCGGGGCCGAGACCCCTTCTTCAGCCGTTGCTTCGAAAAGACTGGATGTTTTGACTGTGTGACCCGAGCCTAGAGCCCCTCCGGCCTCCCCAGAGTCGGATTCTGTTTGGATAAGCTGGTGCAATGCATCCCTGCCTGTTGGAAGACCCGGGACCTCAGTTCCTGTGCTGGAGGCCGAACAGACTAGTCTCGTTAAGCATCGCTTGGAAGGAGATGGAGTTGGTGCGAAAGATCTGTGCGCCAGAGCCTGGAGTTGCAATTCCAAGGGTGTTCGGGTTCAGGTGATGGAAGCTTTCAAGCAGCACCACCAGCCGAACCCTAGACCCAGCCGACCCTGAATCTTCAATGTCAATCGCCAGTTCAACGGTCTATGTCATGAGTTGACGCTTTTCTTCTGGGGCCCCGGGGACTTGGGAAGGCTTGCGAGGTCTTGCCCGTAGGAGCATTGCTCAATGGAAAGCCTTGGCAATGAGATCCTGGAAACCCTCAAAGTCCTGAAACCTAATTTCAGTTCACCAGACCTTCAGAACCAAGCGAATCTCACAGGTTACAGATACATCAAAGTTGCCCTTGCTCGGCCTGCTCCATTAGACGCACAGCACCGGTGCGGGCCAACCCGCACGACCAACGTATGTTGGATTCTCTCTCTCTCTCTCTCTCTCTCTATGTCTTTCTCTCTGTGGCCGCAGCTCATATCTATTGCTAATTTATCTATCTGTGTCTACCTATCTACCTACCCCCACCATCCCCCACCCACCCACTCACCCACCCATCCACCCATTCACCCATGCAGTCATGCATCAATCCCTCCATCTGTCCTATCAATCTACTTGTCTGTCTGTCTGTCTTTCTGTCTGTCTGTCTGTCTGTCTATCTTATCTCTCTAACTCCTTCCCTGACTCCCTCCCTGCCTGCCTGCCTGCCTGCCTGCCTACCTACCTACCCACCCACGCATGCGCCCACCCACCCACCCACCCACCCACCCACCCACCCACCCACCCACCCACCCTTGAATGCACAGACAGGTATCATACCCACATGGCATGCGAGCTTCCAGGAAAGCGGGCTTGGTCCAGAGATACGGGCCAAGTGCACGCTGCTGCTTGGCGTCGCAAGTGAAGCTGAGATGTGCGTGTTCACCTTCTTCTTCTGCTTCTTCGGATAGCTTGAATGCTTGCGTCTTGCTATAAGCAGGTGCTGCAGGGCCGTTGCCAGGAAGTTTTTCGAAATGCCAGCATCGTAAGATGGATTCAAGGTACACATCCACGGAGCCATGCGTCATGTGCGCCGGTGCTATCTACTGGTCTCAGGCACGGCTCACTGTTTATGAATCGCCTCTACTTCCCCGTATCCTGAGCAAGCTCCTGTCCCAGGCAAAGCCTCCAAGACCCGAAACCTTTACTTATGCATGCGCAAAGATGGGACTGAATGAGATCAGGTGCGGCTTTCCTTTGCTCAGAGCACTTGAGGGAAACCCTGGAAGTGGAGTGCGCACTCAAGGATAGTCGGCCAGAGCCGCTAGAGCCGCTAGATCGGACTGCCAGGTCGGCCGGGTTGTTTTCGGCGCCAGCAGTGAGGACGAGCTGCTGAAAAAGCAACTCGCAGCTGTCTTGGCCTTTCTTTCAAGATCCCCTTCTCCACATTTCGGCACGGCTCCACGGACAGACTTGGTCACTGTGAGCATTTGGCCTCACAGAAGGCAGCGGTGTAGGTCATGTCGTGCGTTGGGTTTGGTCGTGGGTCAGCCGCGCTGTGACTTGCGATGCAGGACTTGGTGCAGCTGTCTGGCCCTGGCGGCTTCGATGTGCCCCTCGAGCGCCTCGGATGCTTCTGGCGTCAGATGCCTCAAAACTCCACAGCCCCGCACACCCGGGATAGAGCCGCAATGCCTCTCCACTATGATATGTTCCACTTTTGTCTCCAGACTCCGGGTTAGAAACCCTGGTAAGCCTTCGGCGCATGCGGCTGAGTTTGGACAGGAAGCTGTATGGCATGGGCCGCGAGGGAACCCGCAAGATCGAGATCCATGGCCCGGTACTCTCAGAGGAGCGCTGGAGTGTTCGGGGCGACTGGCATTCTTCATCCTTGCTTTTGTAGTAACTTCTTTTTGTGCTGGCTTGTTTACTAGCCCTTTTGCCTCATGTAGTGGGGCTGCGAGGTCTTCCCCGTCTTTGCAGTCCCCCCGCGGCTGTCTACCGTCAGATCCGGGACTTCACTAAGGTTTAGGCGTGAGTAGCATCCGGGATACAAGACCAGCTGGTGCGCCTGGTAGTGCTCAGCAGAACTTCATTCGCCTGATCCAGGTCTCAACCTGAAGAAAGGGATGCTGACATGTCGCTGCCTCGCTCTGCCACTGACTAACCTCCCTGCTCCTCCCTGCTCTGGGACTCAGGCTTCCAAAGGTGCTTAGAAAGGTGCTTAGAGGACTTACTGACCGTGAAGCCGAAATCCGCTCAGGAGGCGATGAAGATCCATGCTGCCAGCGGCTGCTGGCGCGGCCTGAAAAGAGCAGCAAGCCCAAATCCACCCCAGGATGAGCAGTGCTAAGTGCTAGCTGGCGCTTTTCCAATGCTACAGGCACTCAAGGAGGAAAGACGCACTGCAGGCAAAGCCGCAGACCATCCTACTCTCTCACGCGTTTCTAGCATTCCGCAGAAGTTTACTGCAATTCAGTGTCTATCGGAGTCCATCGCATACCGCTCTCGGGCGGAAGGTATGCAAATTTCTTCCAAGCCGGGCGTATGCACAACGCAAGTGGGTGTTTGCCCCACCGTTCTCCCGGCTAAGCACCCTGATCCCCAGAAGTGCGTTTGGCAGAGCGAGCCTCATCGCCTTCCTGTTGCTCCGACAGCCGGCAGGAACATGATCCTGTACCCCTGGGTGAAGCATCAGACTTGCACCATCGTACAACAAGAATTGAATCCAAATGACTTCGAAGATCCACCAAGCCCAGAGCCAACACGATATGCCCATGATCCAGGGTGTTTCTTGGGCTCCGCAGCCAAGACTCCAAGTCTCGAAGTGAAAAAGTGTCGCCACTTGGGTTTGAGGGTACCCTCCTAGGGTCCTTCGAGGAGGTAAAGCTTCGCATGTGCTGCGCAGGTCACCGAGACTTTGTTGGGGGATCTGCTCTTAGCCGTCGGAACCTCGAGCATTCCTTGTGGTGCGAGTGCTGTTTGAGTGTGCGCGATTCACCTGCAAGACGTGATGTCAAGCGGCAATTTGTGCCAGATCCGGGTTGGTCCCTGGCCCCGAGTCCGAGATGCTCTGCTTCTGATTTTTCGCATATCCACCTTCTGGACGTCCAATGCCTAAACGACTCATCTACCAAACCGGGCGGTCCTGAGATTCTTGGATAGCGTTGAAGCAATCAACCTAGGGCTGTCCTGCAGATTTTTGCCCCGTTATTGGCAGTCATTGTCCCGCGCGTATCCCTCCTCACCTCAGGCTGGCTCGATGGGTTTCGTGCTCTTCTACCTTATGGTCCACACGCAAAGCGTGTTGCTTGGTGCCCAGTCTTGCTGCCCACGAGTCATTCAGATTCAGATCTGTGAAGGCTGCGTGGCACCAAGACCGTCAGGACTCTGTAGGACAGTTGTGGAACTGGCTAGCAGCACAGCTTCGGGCTGAGCAACAACGAGCCATTGTGTGTGTCCGACCTGATAAAGGTTCTTGATGATGATCAGCTGGTAAGCTGGTAGTGCCTTGTAGTATTTTCGTCCATGTTTTTTTCTCCATTTCTTGTTCCATTTCTGCAGAGCAGATGCGGTGCCGCATGTCATCTTCGTGTTGTGCCAAGGCTGGGTGCTCTTGGGCTTCTCCTCATCGTGAGTGCGGCGGAAGCCTCAGCAAAGCGTGGATGGGGAGGTTCTTCGTGTGTTTGCAGCTGCGCAGTACGGGTTTCCGTCACGACACACCGGCGGGCTTTATCAGTGCTACTGCATGATTCTTAATCACAGCTTTAATTCGGTTCGCAGGCCGTCCGCATTTGTGCGTATCGTATGAGACTGTGTGAATGTGCATTTGTATGTACATATGTACACACACCTTCGATATACGTGTGAGTTTCCACGCAGGGCTTGCTGACAGGTTTCAGGTAGTTATTGCGGACGGTGTGCAGTACAGCATCGAGGCTGCAACGTACTTTCTCGGGCCATGCCTGTGACACTACACGGCTATACTCAAACAGGCAGATAAGAAATGAATAACAAAGGCCAGCTGGCCAAATGGCATGTGCTTTAGCCCTTTAGAACTGTTTAGAACTTTGAGTTTTGCATTTGTGCATACCAGCATCAATGGCACGACCACAGCAAGCTTAACTGTGTACACGCAGAGTGTCTCAGTGGTGGGACAGATGCGAAGACATTCATCTGAATCGTGTCTTATCACTTTACGACATGACTTGTGGCCGCTTGTCAGATTCCACTGTCCTACGTCTTGTTCTCAATTGTGACCGGCTCGTGCCTGCCCCAGAACTTTCAGGCCTCCGGGCTTCGAGGGCTTGTCTGCAGTACCAGCATGGCTCATTGTGGTCATTGGCAATGACGTAGCATCGATGCCTTGATTAACATCAGGTCTGACTTTGGCATGTGCGGCTTTGGCAGTTCTTGAGGGTCCATTGCATGTGCTTGAGCAACCGACATGCTGTCCACCCAGGAACACAATGAGCATCGCATCGCTGCTATCAGTATTCCTGGCCGTTCTGGCAAGCTTGGGCACAGCCATCGCCGATCCAATCATCGTTCGATGGTTGTGCTGCACGGTGGGATGGGAAAGCTGTATGCAATTCACGGGATGTCCATTGCAATGCTTCAGCTGATTCAGTCGCATCGAGTCACAGCAAACAACAGAAGCAAACGCACCAACGGGCTTTTATATATCAATGTTTATGACGCGCACGTCTTTCTCTCTATCATAACTATCTGTCTGCCTGCCTTCCTGGTGGCTGCCTGCGGGTCTGTCATGCAGCATATCAAAGCACAACGAACTAACTAACTACATGGCCAGCTATCTAGCGAGCTGACTAACTAACTAACGAACTAACGTAATTTCGAACCAACATGAACCAACGAACTAGCTAACTAACTAACTAACTAACCAACTAACTAACTAGCTAGCTAACTAGCTAACTATCTAACTAACTATCTCACTATATAAGTACCCAACATTTTTTCTAACTAACAAGCTCAGCTCGTATATGCATAAGCACACATTTATGTAAATAAATACATAAATGCATAAATAAATGACTACATAGACAAGCAAATAGACAACCGACCACCAAATCGTAAATGCATACCGATAGACATAAATAGATGCACTATCTGTCTGTCTGTCTGTCTGTCTGTCTATCTATCTATCTACCTATCGATCTATCTATCTATCGATACTTCTATCTATCTAGCTGTTGTGTCTCTATGTGTGGGTGCATCACGTGAGCATGGTCGCCTTTTGCCGCTGCCAGATCGTCGGCCTCGGCTCGGACGTCGTCTTTGCCCGGGGGCTCAGGGATTCGGAAAGTGCTTGGTAGGCTTTTAGGGGTAACATGGAGGCAAGATTTAGGGTTTAGGGCTTAGCTGTGGAGGCAATTCAGGCTTTTGAAGATTCGCGGGATTTTGGGCTTCAGAGGTTCAGCGGCTCAAGGCATTCCAAATGTTGGCCGCCGCAAGGTCTACACCGACTTCTGGGCCGACTCTTTTCACCGCAAGGACCCTTGGCTTCCGAGCTCAAGAGGGGAAGCTGAGGATGGATGCGGTAGCTCAGACAGACGGACAGGTCACAGTCGGAAGGAGAAGAGACCGAATGAGGCAAATTTGAGCATGCTTCAAGTACTGGTATCATCAAGTAACAAAGTAGGTATCCTTCGCGGTGTAAAGGCCTCTAGAACGGCTTCGTTGCACCTCGGGTGTAGTCCAGCGTCAGGAAAACTATGGCAGCCGCATGACCTGGACCTTGATCCACGCTGGCAAGGCTTCCTTCGGCCTCTAGTGTTCTCAATTGTGTAAGTGTTTAGTGAGGAGCTGGTTTGTCAGGATTCGGACACGCCGTGCGGTGAATTTGGTGAGTCTTCTCCACATGTCCATCCAAGCCTTTTTTGCGCCGAGATTAGCTTGACGGGTCTTTGTCTGCCAGTGGCCTTCCACATGCACCAAGCCTGAAACCTGACTTCAGGCGTCGTTGGCCACTTCGGTCACGACGGCGCTGTCCTTCTTCGCGAATTTGGCATCAGCACCTACCTAAGCGAAGGCAACCGACGGCTCGCTTGCACACGCAGAACCCGCGGTAAGCAGGGCATCATCCAAGCCGAAGCCTTTAAGAAAGCAGCTACCTTCTCTACTCCCGGTACTGTATCGGCAGGGCAAAGGCCGACATTCCATGATCTCGCACATCCCTGGTCGCGAAATTTTCCGAGAACGCCCTAGACCTTTCCAGGCCCAGCGATACATAGCAGCTATCTCTGAGGTGCTGAAGCCTTTGCGCGAGTTTGGATTCTTCATGGGCTCCCTGGCACAATTTGTCGCAGCATGTTCAGGGGATATCAGAGCCAAGTTGACCGGAGCCCAGGGGAAATGTCTGTCTTTTGCTCCAACCAGCCTCCGCCAATGTCAGCTTGTTTGGCCTGCTTCCCACCTAGAGGAGCAAACGCAAGAGAGCAATTTTCGTCCTTTCGCAGGCCAGGCGTGCCATGTTTTCCCTTGTTGACTTTGTTGTCGATTACCGAGGCCTCTGTGTCGTGGTGTGCTGGGCCGCGCTCCCGGATTTTCACGTGGGGCCGTACCACAGACTGCTCCCAGACCTCGTGTCAAAGATGTTAGGAGATTCTTACACATCTGCCACGACGTGGATTCGTTAGGCTGTTGAGCAGCATTCAAGGTTCCTTGATGTTCTTTGCTTCCAATGATAGCCAGTGTTCGGTGATTCTATCAGGAGCAGACAACATGAAGTTTGGTCGAAGCTTTTACACATTGCCCGGAACTGTGGAGCCGAAGCGAGGAGCCAGGTTCTGGATGAGGCCACATCATGTTTACTGTGCTGAAATTTTGTATCGAGGGTGTAAGACACAGTGTAAACATGTAGGAACACCTGGGCCCTTAAACGGTATAAGAGCACTCATCCCTAAGCCTCTGGCGTCTTCGTCGTTCCCTGCCAACCCTGCCACTCGAGAACATTCCTTCAAGTAGAATAAGTTTGTGTACGTTCAGGCAGTAGTGAAGTTCCATCGGCGTCCTATCTGTTGCGCGGGTCGTGTATGTTCACCCAGGCGTCCCTAAACAGCAACACCAGATTAGCACCAGGACTTGGGATCGAATGCTCACGAATATACCCTCTTGCCGAGCCTCCTCATACATGTCATGCTTCGCACAGATGGCGGCTAGGTCTTGCTCAGCCTCATTTACCTGCCGCTCTGCATGCTGTCGGAGTATTGGTGTGGCAGGCCTCTGTGACTCGCTGGTCAACTATCCTGCAAAAAAAGTAGTTGCGTATAGTCGCGGTGTAGTTCTAACAGGTGCAGATGCTAGTCTGCCATTCAGAGTACTAAGACGGTTCGCGAGGCCAGTACCCTCCAAATATATACACATACACATAGACATCTTCTACACAAATACATACATGCATGCATGCATGCATGCATACATCCATAGTACACCCGTACAAACTAACGTGCATACATACATACGCACACACGCATGCACATACACAGAGACATTTACTTTCACGCATGCATACAGACATTCATACATACAGACATGGTGATACGGTAGTGATACGAGAATCCAGGGAACTGTAAGAAGGGATGCTGCCGAGATTCAACTCGACAGGAGCAAGTCCCGATGTGCGAGCTTCACAGCTGCCTTCAGGACCTGTTGAAAGTCTTCTTACAAAACGGCTTATGCATACCTCCGCAAGACATCGTAAACCCGCAGCCCCGGCGCGTGAGGACGGATCTCAAGGAAGCAATGTCGTCCGTCAGGCCTTGGATGGGCTAAGGGTGATTTTCATCTTCTAGATGATCCTTGAAGTCTGCAACATTTCGATCACGAGTCGTAGAATGGTCGTGTAGTAGGACGGCCCAGCTTCTTGTATCTGTTTTCATGGACCTCCCTGCATCATCTTCGTTCTTTCCGGGACGAGGCATATACATGATTTGAAGGAGGTTTCTAGCGTCTCCTAAATCAGCCTGCTGACTGCAACCTGTGCTCTAACATGATATTCTGTTTTGCACCATAATGGGAATACATCGGTACCTACTTTTGGCCCAGTCTATCAAAAGGGACAGCATGTGTATGTTACGTATGTATCGAAAATGGTACTTTCAACAATCCTTTTCCGGTCGTTTAGGGTCAGATAGGGTCTTTTGTCACAAGGGCTCTTCTGTTGTATGGGGTCTTCTGGTAGATAGGGCTTGGAGCTAGACAGGGTCTTCTGCTGGACGTGGTCCGCTGGTAGACTAGATCCAAGAGTTCTGATGGTAAAGCGGCTAGGCTGGCTTTGGTTTGGTTTGGCTTGTCAATATAGGTATACGTATCTTTGTATGTCTGTGTCCACGTGTCCACGTTTACGTCTATATTTATGCTTATGTCTATGTGTATATGATTTTGTATATGGCTTCAGTTGTACATATACAAATAATCCTTAGGACGCTCAAAGAAGCCATAAAGGTATGAGCATATGAAATATTAAAAAACTTTCCATTATATTCTACTATATTCTCTTGTCTTCTACCATGTTGCTCACTCTACGTATTATATTCCATTCCCATTATTTTCGATAATGTTTTTTTATTCTATGCTATTCTATTCTAGTCTATCTTTTCTGTTCTATGGTCGATTTTACTTTGTTTTATATTATATGATATCATATGATATTAATTACATAATATGATATTCTATTTTATTCTGTTCTATGCTATTCTGTTCTATTCTAATCTTTGCATTCTGTTCTTGAATAGTATTGTATGTTATTGTATATTATGCTGTATATTATATTATACATTATGGTACATTAGTTGTATTTGATGCTATGCTATCATGTTCTATTCTGTTCTGTTTACCTATACTAACTCATGATATTCTAATCTGTTCTATTCTAACCGACTTGCTATACCATATTTTATTATGCTATATTATATTATATTATATTATATTATATTATATTATATTATATTATATTATATTATGCTATATTATATTATATTATGTCATATGAAATTCTATTTTACTGCACAGTATAATGTATATTATATTGTACATATGTTTTCTTACGCTATATTGTATTATAATGCAATACATATATACATACATACATATATACATATATACATATATACATATATATATATATGTATATTTTTGTATACATGTCTAAATCTCTACCTGCGTACATGCACCGACATGTTTCGATCATGTAATGTGACCGATGTCCCGCCCTCTCCCCTTCTCTTCGCAGTATCCCCTTCAGGTTCTGGAAGTCATCGAGACTTGGCTTCAAAAGGAATCCGCCTTAACCGGCCCAAGCAAACCGAAACGGTTCAGGGTTTGTGTCTGAGTGTGGAAGTTAATAGTGTGTGATGCCATCACCCGTAGCAAACAATTTATATGGGTTCAAACTATCCACTTAACCACTGCGCTATGGCAACGAAGCTAAATGCGTTCCAAATGATGTGCATCCGCAAGATTTTAAGCAAAGCTCCCACCTATATAGATCGCACAAGTACTAACGCAAGCTTTTGGAAGAAGCAGGTATGATCGCATTTCCAAGCCGGGACGAACGACGATAGATACTATTATTTAGTGACTTCCATAATCGAAGACGCGCTAAGCTATTAGGTCAAATATTTCGTTGTACAAATTCACATCCATTCAGACAGGTATCGTTTATGCCCAGCAGTACCACTAGAATTGACTATGGCAAGAAGCGAGTTGGGAAGCCCCGGCAGACTTGGATACACCACACAAGAACGTTTGTGTGGGAAGAGACGCTTGGAAGAATATCGTATGGAGAAACCCGGGCACAGAATAATCTCATCTATAACGCAAGTTTGCAAAGACAATTCTAACGCGTCTGTAGAGGGCAAGCCTCCTTTTTGCTGCGCCAACGCCGTGTGTACAGTCGATTCACGGTATGGCTTTGGAAAGCGTTGTGGCTGTTCGTGCTACTGGACTTATTGCAGTCACGCTGGTTTTTGCGATGTGCAAGTATGTTGCTGTAGTCATGTTCGCGTAGCGTCGTCGTAGTCGCCGTAGTAGGAGGAGGAGGAGGCAGTTCAAACAAGTGAAACAGTAGACAGACTACACTAGATGTAGGAACCTCGCGCTGATCGCAGTCCATAGTCGTCCTATCTAGTGACCTCGTGTCGCGCCACCAAGGACGAGCTCGAAGGCCGGGTGGCTGATGCCATGACGGTTGGAGGTTCAGGGTGCGAGCATTGTGGGCTCATGAAGTTTCCGCAGGCTTCAAGCCGGCATGAAGGGCTTGGGTTCGCTTCTCCTCTTGGCTTTTGCGATTATGACTCCATGACAGCACACACAGGCACAAGTCTTCTGCCAATCACGGGAGTTGTACGACGCTGTTTAGGAATTGAGATGTTGGCACCTGCAAGGCCGCCAAAATCGACGCGTATCCATACACGCGCGCGGGCCTCGCCCTGGAAAGTGTCGGGGAGACTAGAGGGGCTGAAGGGCTTGACGTTTGGTTTGCGCTGTGATCCCAGGACCCAAGCCCGACTGATGCGTTGCCTCACGGTGCGATGAACTTGTTGTCGGTGTCGTACCTTTTCGTGGCCCCGTTTCGATACTCGACAATTGCACGTTTGATGTATTGCAAGTCGTATTGCTTGGGTTATGAGTGCTTGGATGCATTTTGTTTATATGGACATCAGGTGGCTACACCAGATGCTTGCAGAGGGCCAAGCGCAGCCTGGCTTTGTTTCCAGTCTGGGACCCAGATTGGCTACTCGTGCCTTACGGCTCTTCGCAAGGCAAGGACAGCCTTTGGACAAGAGGCACGATGTCGAAATGATGCTGAGACTAAGTGGCGAATTTGCAGTTTAAGATGCATGCTTATGCAGCATCCAAGCTTAGGGGAATGCCAAGTGGCCGCCCACCTTCCGAGGAAGCAATGCCCTGCCTCAAACATGTCGAAGTCCTCGACTGAAATGTTCCGCTCCTGGGGTGTGCGAGCAGCCTTACGAGCTCCTCAGCCCTGAGACACGTTGATTTGATGCATGAAATTTGTATGAATCATGTCTTCGTACGACAAGCACGAAGTAGAACTACATATGTTTACTTATATAGAAATAAGTTGAAACATGAAATGGATGAACAAGTAATCCAATAACCGTTATGTTCAGTATGTCTGACAACGAACCTACAGATACACAAGCGGATACATGAACACATGGATGTAGATGTAAATGTCGAAAATGGCTAGCTGACGAACCAACTCGCTCGCTCCCTGGCTGCCGACCAACCTCATAACCAGCCTTCGAGCAGAAGCACATGCGCAGCGCATCCTTCAATGTGTTTGATTTGGTATTTCAAAGTATTTACTTTGTACTTTCCCATCTGTTTCTCTGTGGTCAAATGGTTGGTTGGTTGGCTGGTTGGCTGGCTGGGTGGGTGGGGTTGGTTGGTTGGTGGGTGGGTTGACCGGTCGGTCGGTCGGTCGGGGGAGTGGTTGGTTGGGTGGTTGGCTGGGTGGGTGGTTGGTTGGTTCGGTTCTTTCGGGGCAGCATGAAATTCTGCTGATTTATGAAACTTGACCCGCCTGTTTCGCTCGCTTCTGAACATGAAAGGGGACTCACGGCACAAAGACAAAAGATGAGACGCTGAGATTGTCGTCTCGCTCGGCCTGGCTGCGTGGGGCTCGATGGTCTTTGAGGCACGGTGCTTCTGCTTCCTGATCCCAATGCATCAACAAGTCGAGTGGGCAGGTGGATTCGGGCGTGCCCAGCATCTTCCCGCCAGAGCACAACCTGAACCGTGGGCAGCAGGCCCGCGGATGAAAGATGAGATTGCCCCTTCTTTGCGCAAGATGGGAGATGTGGAGATATGCCAAGGCCGGTCAAGGCATGAATCTTCGATCGGCCGGCATGCGTCAGAAGAGCATCCACTTCTGATGAGTCAGTTTCGCATGCATGCTGAAGTTTTGACGAGCCAGTAAAGCCTCTGATGCCACTTCTACAACCAGCGGTAACCCACTTCGCCTCCGCAAGATCTTCGCCACCTTCAATGATGCCAACCAGGCTGTCTCTGCCGTGGTTCGAACCCCCCATGCGCAACGCCAATTCGTCAATGGGTGGTTTTTGTTTGATGTCAGCAGTGGTCCCGAGAAGCTCTTCCAAGGTTTCAGATTCAGGCGGTTTCTATTTGGTCGCATTTGGTCTTACTCTTGGGTTCGGCATTTCTGGGCACCTCGAGTCATGCCAGAAGTTGTTACTTGACAGAACATGAGTCATCTGCACTCAACATCCGCCTTGATGATTCTGACAAGTGGCCGGCACAGTCTTGACTGTGACACTGTGACCAGCCGTGACTTGGTCAGGTTTTCAATCCATTGTGGACCATTGATACGCCACAGGCCAGGTGCCTTCGGAAGCTTCGTAATCCCACAACTTCAGGATGCCTGGAGAATTTAAGTTGGTCTTGGTGGTCGAGCCTACTAGGTTGTGTGTAGTTAGGTGGCCGAGTCTGCGTGATTCATCCGGATTCTGCTTGCCTGCTTATCTTATGACCCTGTTTCGACTTTGCACAGTTGCTTTTGGGCACCGTTGTGTCACAAGGGGGTACTATTGCTGAAGTGCCCTCTCAAGTGAGCAGCGCACTATCAACGATCACGTGCGTTCTAGTTCTCACCGAAAAGACTTCACGAAGCTGAACAGCGATCCTCTGAAGCCCTCATCCGCTGGACGCCCCGTGTCTTCCCCTCCGGAAGGTTAGTGTTTGCAACGATGCCATGTTTGCGTGGCTTGGCCCGGACTCGGTGATTTCAGGATCAGACTTGAGGTCGGGGAGTCGGAGTCGGAAGGGCCCGTGCTGGCTCGCAATCTGAGCTGGAGCCGAGGCCTATCAGCACTACATACACTCCAGCAAGCTGGCCAAGATCTCAGTGAAAAATCTCACGGGTTCGCTCGTATATCAAACCTGCCGTCCTGGCTTATCCGACTGCAAATTTGCAGCCTCCGGCGCAGGTATGTAACATCTCAGCATTCCGATACTTCTTCGTATGTCTTGGCACCACTCTTGTCAAGCTTCGGTCACCAAGGGGCTACAACTGCAACCTCTTCTGGTGTGAAGCCGACCCCGATGTGGAGCAATCCGAGGCCCTTGGTTTGCGCAGCCGATGTGATCTGCTTGCAGTCTCAAGGGTTTCTTTTTCATCTTGCTTTGGTGTGCCATGCTGCAATGCTGCAATATTCCGTAACCTGGCTCCAAGACTGCAGGAGGGAAGCTGCCATTGCTGGAGAAGGCAGCTTCCCAACACGTGCAACACTCAATCGGCGCCGGTGGTCCGGGCCCTGACATGTCCGGTTCATCCAGCATGTTCACAGAATTTGTGTTGTGCTTGGACTAAACCTCGAAGAGCTGTCCTCTAGTTCGTTGCCACTCTCTAAGTAGCACTATGCGTGTGCTCTGCCATTCATTGCGGAGCCGACCGAGCGTCTTTGTCGTTGCGCTTGAAAGTCTTGTGGACACCTGAGTGCGAGGTTCCAGTTAATTAGCAGCTTCTGCCAAGCTGAGACAGACGAGCACTCCACATATCTGCAGTGCTCTTGCTTCCCTGCCCTGGTGTTCGATACTGAGTCCTCGAAGATCTATGCAAAGAGGAAGCTTGCGGAATCGGAGATGGTAGGCCGAGCTTCCTTTTGCCGCGACGGAAGTACTACAAGTACTCGAGCTGTAGCGACCAGCCGACGTGAGCCGCTGAAGCATAGGATTCAAAGGACTGTCTGCTGTGAAGTCATGACTCTCCAGGAGTTCCCTGCGCAGTAACACGCTCCTCCGAGACTTTGCTCCTTCTCCCTCCAGACGTGACAACGCAAACCTCAACATCAGCCTTGTTGCGACATCCGAGAAAGCGTTTCCATACATCCTGCAACTCGACAACTGAAAGTCATCGAAGCTTCTTTCGGGAGGCGCCGTGGCCGACTACCTCGCAAGCACGGAGGGGATGCAAATGACGTCTGCCCAGCGGCAGAGCATGCAAAGGCCGACATCCAGTCGCCACGGGGCCAGGTTGGAAGTACATAAACTTGGGAGCATTCAGCCCGAAGTTCCGAACGGCAAGCGCATTAAGAAGCCTTGTGCAGCCATGCAGAGCCTTGCCGTTCTTTACAAACAAACTTGAGGATTGCTAGGAGTCGTAGTCGAAGTCCAGGTTTTTTGTGCATTCGAGGCAGTTTTGGCACAGCCAGCCGAGATTTCAAAAAGAGGTCTGTTGAACCGGGGGTCCCAAAAAACCCACACACGCACCCCGAAAGCGTGCTAGCGTGCTACAGCTGCTGATGCATGCTTTTGAACATGTGGTAGACGGTTGCAGCTACTTTTCGGGTGTCCAGCATCGAAGAAGCTACCTGTGGCAGTCTGTACTAGCATTGCATGTTCTGGTCTACCTTGGTTGTGTGATACAAGGGTCGGGCTAGCTCCAAGCCCAGCAGACTTCTGGCAGCATGATTCCCCTCCTGCTCACTACGACTCGTCAACTACGTTAAAAACGATTTGAAGTCCGAAGACCCCCCACACCCCTGACGTGCCCCCCCCACCACACACTTCCGAATCGGTCAGGGCGACTGTGATAGCTCCAGTCGTCACAGAGGTGCCGAGCTCAGTCTTTGAGCTTGCCTGTCGATGAGTTGTGGAGGGTGCGAAGCCTTCGAGTCCGGATTTCAATGAGGGATTCCGGGCAGCCAGAGTTGTACGAGGCCAAACAGACAACTTCCAAGACCCACCGCGATTCAGTCGTGGGGTATGAGAGAGAAAGAGTGAGAGTGAGAGAGAGTGTGAGAGCCGCTAGCCCTGGCCAAAAAAAGAGAGTGTGTGAGAGAGAGAGAGAGAGAGAGAGAGTGAGAGAGAGAGAGAGAGAGAGAGCGAGAGAGAGAGAGAGAGAGAGAAACTCCAAACCCCTAGCAAGCAAGCAAGCAAGCAAGAAATCCCGCATGCGGCCTCACGTTGCACTGCATCGAAAGCTGATCCCACATCTCGGAATATCCCTAGACACCACAACCGCCGCCGCCACCCCCGCCACCGTCACCACCACCACCACCACCACCACCACCACCATACAACTGACGATGGAGTGCTGTACCACTACCACTACCGCACCATGCTACCACCATGACGACGCAGCCGGCAGCGTCAGCTGCTGCTGCTGCTGCTACTACTACTACTACTACTACGGCTACTACTAGTAGGCCTTCAGCAAAGGTTTGGCAGGTCACGTGGGTGAGCGAACACGGGTGAGCAAAAACACGGGCCCAAGTTTCCTTAGACAGCACAAGTGAAATGCTACAGCCACTCTGCTCTACCTTGCCACTACTTGGCCTTCACCCTTCCGGGTGCCAGCTTTGGGAAGCCCTCGTTCTCTGAAGGAGTGGGAGCGAGGGGTGAAGGAGGTGCGCGAGATTACCGAGGCACTGGAAGAGCAAACAGTCAAAGCTCAAGGGTGTAGAGATGAGGATGTGCTGCAGCCGCCAGTCTTTAGTTGGAGGGGGTTGGGGCAGGGGTTTCAGTTTTTTTCAGTGTGGGGACTCTCTCTGAGGCTCAAGTCATCGGATTAGTTACTCACCGATTTTCCGGCAAGACAACCTGGCAAGCTGGGCTCCATGGCGCATCTACCTGATAAGTAATGCAAGGCGCCCTTTCAGGGTTTCCAGTCCTGCAACCGTTGGACGCGCTTCGTTCTTACTCAACCGGGGCACCGGGGCAGACCTACAGGTCACAGAGCAAAAGGGCAGTCAGGAAAGGAATGACCCCGACACGTTGGTTTCCCCTCATTCTTACCCAAACGTTTGTTGGATGTGGCTGCACTGTAGACCGGGGAAATGTGGCATGAGGACGATGGCAGCTTTTCTCTGCACAGGCTGTCAACGGAGAGCACGTGCTGGTGCAGCAGAACCTCACATCTCGAGTCCCAGAATATGCAACCATACCCTCGCGTGATGCTAATTCAACTTGAATACACAAACTGCATTGCCTCCATTACAGCAGAAAGTCGAACATACAGCCTACTGCCTCACATGCTCGCAAGTCTGATACTTCCCGTGGGGAGGAAGGAGCACAACTACCCGCGAAGCCCTGAGTGGAAGGTGGTCGGCCGCCTGCAGCGAGAGAGCCAGAACAGCTCCTCCTGCGGCTTCCAGGCGCTGACTCCATGCATAGAATCAACTTGAACGTGAACCACCAATCCCTTCGTCGATTTTGTTGGCCCACTTGAAGCAGCGACGTTTGTAAAAGGACATGTGCTTTTGCACAACTTGGTCCTGCAAAATGTCGGGCACTTGGATTGTGTTTGCCATCCGAACTGTGCGGGATATCCCAGCAGGGATTCTTCACGAGCTTCACCTTCCGTTTGTGGAACACTGAGGTTGGGCACTGGATGGCAGCAGGCCCATGTAGACAGCTGGCGTAGAAAGCTGCACCAGCTGTATGATGGTGTCACGCAGTTCAGAGCGTCTCAAGCTCCTTGAGTTTCTGCTCTCTGCCAAAACCAAAGAAGCATTTTCAGTTTGAGTTGTATGGAAATTGTCCAAGTTACAGGAGAGCGGAGCCAGGGACATGGTGGGCCACATGGGCTACGCCCCAGCACGAATCAGAGGCATAGTTAAAGCACCGAGTTGGAATAGCAACCATACTAGCAGTCGAATCAAAGCATGGCTACATGTCAGCAGGAGCAGTAGGAGCGCTCCTGTCTGAGGTAAGGACGTGAATTCGCATCCAACGTCGAAGCAGCAAAACTCATGTGGCAAGCAGAGCATCGGCAGCGATGCTGGAGCATAGCTGACCCCGATGTTCGCCGCTGGGATCACGCGCACAGCAAGACAAGTACAAGCAGCAAACCAACTTATCGTGGCAACGACAGTAAGAACTCTTCCGTCAAATCTTCTTGTCATCATCATCATCTTCATCATCATCATCGTCATCGTCAGCATCGTTCTCGTCAACAGTGGGCCTTGTGCAAGCCAGCTTGCCAAGGACATGCCAAGCCACTCAGCTTCCTAGGCCAACGAAGCCAACGCAAGCCAAGCTAGGAAACTGCAAACCTCTGCTTCTTGGAAACAGAACCTCTTCCGCCCCTGTTAATGTCCGTCTGGAACTGCCCCATCCTTCATGAGACTATATGGGAAATGCCGAGTCCACATTACACTGTCTTGGTCAGGTGGACCCACTGTCGATTCCCACGATCAGCCGCCTGGATCTGAAACTGGCAATGGCAGATGAAAGCACGAGAGCAGTAAGGCCGACAGAAGCTCAGCTACATCTACCCGGTAGGTATGCCGCATACGAAGTTTTACTACCATGCCCCATACGAAGTTTTAGCCCGGGGTTGTAGTCCTGTCATGCGTGTACGGTTGTTTTTTTTTGTGTGTGTGTGTGTATATATATATATATGCTACCCCCCCCATTGACCTACCTTTGTTGGGGGTC